TTTTGAATGTAACGAAACAATACTGCAGTTTAAAACTAACTGATCAGGAAATAATCGAAATAATTCTAGCAATAAATTGGAATCATATTAAATTATCAAACGACTAAGGTAACTTTTACTGTTCTGATTTTAGACATCTTACTTTTTTTATCCACATCAATACAACCATATAGAAAAGAAATAGATCAAAGAACAAAAAATACTGAAGTAGAATAAATTAGACCTCATGTTGGGATAAGATGATGACTTCTCTTGAAATTAGGTAGTTACACAATTACACTTGTAATACATTAAAAAAAATCACACTTTAATTTTCACTCGGAAGATTGAAACTGAAAATATAATTTTATTTTAGTCAAATTTTATGAATTACATGTCTCGGTTGAACTTATTGATAGGCTCATTATCATCTAGGTTAATAAATAGGGTTGCATATAATCAAACCCCCAATTAAAATTTGAATTTGTTTTGTAAGATAAATGATCCCATTTTTATCTATATTTCCAATTCGATATAACAAGCTCACATGTGAAAAGCTACCAGGCATATTATGATCCAATCTTTAACAACAAATTGCAGTGCAAGTAAGCCAATAGAGAAGAACATATAGGAGCCACACACCCCGTAGGAATCACAACAATTTTAAAACCATATTCCTGAAATAACACCGAAGCTTCAACGATCATGCCAGTATTGTTCTGATTACCACCAATGCAACAACCAATTATGTTGAATCTTCAAAATAATTCCATACAACAACCAATGTCTGAAGATGACTCCAAAAGTCTACATATAATTTATTTATTTACATATAATGAATGTCGTCGTCCCGCCGCTCTGCTAGGGTTCCGCCGCATGGCGTACCCTAGCGTTTCGATTGTCGCTGTTGCCCCGATCTCTCCGCTCCCTCACGCGTCCATGTGCATCGTCGATTGCGGCGGAGAAGACGCGACTCTGCTGCGTCGTCTTCGCACCGTTGGCGCCGACCCCACTGACCCCCCTCGC